AATTATTCCTCATGTTGTCCACGCTAAACACCCAGCAGTACTGAAACTCGGGGATCGCGTCCCGAATGTTGGCAAACAGCTTGTCCTTGTTCTCGCGCGTCTTCTTGGACACCTGGGTCAGGTGGTAGACCTTTGCTCTCTTTGACTTGGGCATCTTGTCGTAATATCCTTCCCGTTACCGAAAAATCGAGAGATTGCCTGTTGACAAAAAGAGACAATGTGACCAGATCGGAAAAAGTAATTCGGGGTGGTGGAATTGGGGTTGCGAAAAAGTCGAGAGGTGGGTTGGCCGCTCGCTGCTGTGGCGGGCGTTATCGACCGAAAACTGCTTGGGTCCCCCCCAACTTTTGGTTTTTTCTGCCATGGGAATTTTTGGGCGGTGAAGCGCGGTGCCCCACACCGATTGAGAGCTGCAGGCGGGATGCCCCGCCCTGATAGGAGGGGAGGTTTTTCCTTCCGAACTTTATGTCGAGGGACTTACAAAACTCACCCAATTCACCAGGGAAGCAATTGAATGAATCTAGAACAGAGATGAGCATGCGTTCACAATTCACATGGTTCATCGAGCAAAACATACTTCACTGGCAGTTCTGGTACTAGTCTCTTAAACAAACGGCTACCTACCAGCTTCTGGTTTGGCTACTTAAACATATCCTATCATGACATCCTGCCATGCATAATCAGGCCGTCAAAGCAGAGGAAAAACAGTGATTTCCTTACCTCCCGACCTTACCTATCTAACCCATCCATCTATTCCAAATGCTTTGCCGGCATTGGGTATGGAGTGACATGGCAAATTCGTGGAGGATCAAGCCTGGCGATTACTGGGAACCATATCTCCCCTCCCGTTATTATTTCCCCGGTCCGTTCCCAGTCCTCGCTTGTTCTCTTCTTTCCCATGATAAGAGCATATGATATGCTCCGAGAGGTGAACAAAAAAATAACACAAATAAATACAACAGAAAGAAAAGGTCAGAATTCGCTGTACCTTGGTGTGGTTGGTGGGTTGAGTTGGATGCTTTCTGCAAAGAAACATGGTGATAGCTTGATGACTGTCCACCGAGGCTGACAAATGCAAGACAGTGGACAAAGCTTGCTGTTGGTAAGACGATGCCCAGAAAGATCAGTCAAAATATGGACAATAACTTCCGATAGAAAGCGAACCCTGACTTTGACCGAGAGTGTGGGTGACAATATTACAATGGCCGATACACAAACCCCTACCCGTCTTGGGGGCCTTGCAGGCAGATCCATGGGGGCTGAGCTTGTTTCCTGTGAGATATACTGGCGGCTTACCCCGTTGTCGAGGGAAGGGGGATGCGAGAGAGGGAAGATGTGAAAGTATCGTAATACCCACCACAAGACATCAAGTCTTGTCAAGAGCTAAGAGTAGCGGCGCAGTTTTCTGGGAGTCTCGGGCTCACGCTTGATGTAGGGTTCATGGGGGCGAGCTTGCGGGCGATAGGCAAGATTGGGCTGATCCCGATGAGCAGATGAATTGCTCTCACGCGGCGGCTTTCGGTCCTCATCGTCGTCTTCCTTCTAGTACCGGCGAAGTTTTCTGGGATCCTCGTAGCCACCGCCTTCGTACGCACGCTTCCGGGACTCGTCGTGATCTCTCGGTCTGTCGTAATCGCGGCCACCGCTGCCACCATTGTACCCACCATGGTCTCCGCGAGGTCGAACAGGCTCCATGTTGCTTCCGGATTGGCGAGGGTTGCGATCGCGGAAACCGCCGCCAGATCTGTCATCATATGAGCGTGAGCCGCCATCGCGACCTCCATACCCACCACCACCACCACCACCACCACTACCACCACCACCACCACCACTACCACCACCACCAGGCCCATCACGACGGCCATCGCGATTGTCACGACCACCAAATCCTCCACCGGGTCCGCTAGGCGCGTTGGGGGGACCGCCAAAACCGCGATCACCACCACCAAAGCCGCGGTCACCACCTCCAGCACGACCACCGCCAAAACCACCTCCGCGGAAACCACGATCACCACCGCCGAACCCACCAGGACCGCCTCTGAATCCACGGTCACGCCCTCCCCTAAAACCACCGCCGAAGCCGCCGCGGAAACCACCACCACCAAACCCGCTGGGACCCATCGGTCTAGGCATCGCGGCCTTAGTATAGCCTCTGCCACCCAACCCGCCACCGAGACGGCGAGGTTTCCAACCCTTGACTGTGCGACCTCTCTCCACATCAACCTTGACACGGCGGTCTCTAATTCGGAGGCCATCACACTGATCTAAAGCAGCTATTTCAAGCATGCGCCAAAGGCGCATTTGTTAGTCACGCCTTACCACGGGAAAAGAGTTACCTTGAAGGCAGTATAAACGATGCGGAGGGGAAGGAAGGAAAGGGGATGCTGTTGCGAGGCAGGCATTCTTGAGCGCCGTGACTCCTGAACACAAGCACCCGTCGAACATGATGATGAAGGATGGTTTGAATGTGGGCAATATTACCTCTCATGTCTTTCTCTCGCTCGTACACAACAAACGCGTAGCCGCGGTGCGGCTTTGGCTTCTTGTTGGGCTTCTCATGGGCATGGGTGTCGCGGACGATGCGGATCTGTTTGCTCTAGGTCAGCATACGTTTTGTTTCCTCGTGGGAGTATAGTAGATAGCAACATACACGCTCAATGGGGCCAAAGCGGCCAAACTCGCGCTCAAGGTCCTTTTCATCGGCATTGTAGTCAAGACGCGCCACAATCAGCGTCTTGAAGGCATCGCCACGGATGTTGGGGTCCTCGTTTGGCTTGTCTAAACATCAGTTAGCATGCTGTAACAATAAAACCCATGGGCGAGGTGGCCGACAGTTGAGGGGACCCTCGGTCAGGAGCTTCTCGAGAGCTTCCTTCTTCTCGCGTTGCTTGCGGTCGCGCGCCTCGAGCCAGCTTTCGGTCGGGGTGTATGGGATCTCCTTGTATTCCTCCATGGCTGGGAGAAAGTCGGCAACACCAGAGATTGTCGCTGTCTTTCGCTGCTCGGGGGCCTTATCGCAGGGCGGCACCCATCGCAGAGGTGGGCGCGGCGTGAAGAGCGCCAGCAAATTGGGCGGGAGTCGGTCGGTCATCGCTGCGACGACTGAGGTGGTTGTTGTTTTGTTGTTGTGATTCCTTCTCGGCGAAAATCACAAAAGCGGGTCTTTGGGAGAATACCAACCCAGAGTCCCAGCTTGGTCAATGGAATCGGCAAGCGCAGTGTTTCCCGTTGCGCTGAAAGAGATGATAAATATTATGAGAAGTCGCGTGAGAGTTGAAATGGGGATTTGAGAATCACAACAAGCTGCCTTCTTGTCAACATCCTCAAAAAATGTGAACCGTGCATCACCCACGTCCACCCAATCGCAACCCGTTTCTCACCCAAAACCCCCCCACTTATTTTTCCCAGGGTCACTTTTCTGCCGACCTGCCCCGAGTCGCAACCAATTCCCACCCGCAGGTGATGCTCTTCTCGCTGCGAAGACGACGTCGGCGACCATGGCGGTAAAAGCACTTCATGCGATCTCCCAAGGCCGGGTATGTCCCCTTTCCCTCTATTTCCCCCCCTCCTACCCACAGCTAACCTTCCCAACAGAACGGCGTAGGAGCCTTCATCCTCCAATGCAAAAGGATAGACCTCCACTACTGCGACTGGGCCGGTAGCTCTCGAGGCATGAAGTACGTCCCTTTCCCCCCCCCCGTCCCCGTTGCCTTCCCACCCATATACTAACCCCCCCTCCCAGCGGCTTCATCAAATCCCTCCTCCCCAAATTCGCCGCCGCCCACCCCGAAATCGAATTCACCGTCTCCCCCCGCCCCGCCAAACACCCCGTCGCCATCGGCCACTACATCAACGGCCGCTCCAAGCCCATCTGCGTCCGCAACATGGAGCCCTACGAGATCCTGAAGAAGCTCGAGCTCCTCCGCGACGCCAGCGGTGAGAAGCTCAAAAAGGTCACCAAGCCCGTCCGGTCCATCAACGAGTCCGTCAGAGGGATCTGGTCCCCGTACCACGGCAACGGTATGCCTTTGTAAATTACTTTGTGTGTGGTTGCTGTGGCGGGTTGGGAATGGGAAATGGGTGCCTGTATGAAAGATATATCACAATGGCAACGGCGTATATGGGCTGGTTGGTTTGGACTCTTCTTCTGGAAAAAGTCCAAATATGTACAAAAACGATATCATTATCCAAACCGGGAGATGCATACTGGGTTCAAATTTATGATTTTATGCGTTTACTCTTCACTCCGTGTGCAACTGTCGACCCATGTTCCCTAGTCGTTCAATGCTCTGTACTTTTACATGACTGAATAACACACACTGAACGCATAGAACATGATGGAATAGGGTCTGAAACAAACACAATACATTAATGCCTTGGCAGGACGACGTCATGTGTCTTTGTGCCTTCAATACATGTAAATTTCATCCTGGATATATACGTTGAGGTATTAATAGGGTTATAGAAACGATGGATAGGCATAGTTCTACCTTGAAAAGACCTATTATGGCGAGGCCAAACACCGATGGAGTCTTCAAGCACCATTATCAGGTTAGGCAGACCTCTCACGTGCCTTGGCAAGTATTTAAACAGTTAAAATTGGTATTTGTCATAGAGTAGGTAGAGTAGCGGTCTTTCATCACACTCATCTATATCCTCGCTAGCTCCTTTTTAGTCCTAAAAATCCCGTATAAGCCCACGCTAATTCCCAATAAAACGGACAGTGCCGCGCGCTCACTGGTTGGAGTTGATGATGTCGACGACTGTTGATAATTGTCAGCACAAAACTTCTCCGCGATGAGCAGGAGTAACTTACACTCGGGCTTCAAGCTGGCACCGCCAACAAGGAAACCATCAATATCCGGCTGCTTAGCCAAGTCCTTGCTGTTCTTAGCAGTGACCGAGCCACCATACAAAATACGGGTCTCGTCAGCAACAGCGTCGGAAACCTTGGCCTTGAGCCACTTGCGGATAGCAGCATGCACCTCCTGGGCCTGCTCAGTGGTGGCAACCTTGCCAGTACCAATAGCCCAGATGGGCTCATAGGCAATGACAATCTTCTTCCAGTCATCCCCAGAGAGCTTGGCGGCAAGAGCAGCAAGCTGCTTCTCGACAACAGCAACAGTGTTGCCAGCCTCGCGCTCCTCAAGGGACTCGCCGCAGCACCAAATCACGCTGAGACCACCGTCAATGGCAGCCTTGGTCTTGTCGGCGACATTCTCGTCAGACTCGCCGCCGGCTCTGCGCTCCGAGTGGCCGGTGATGGTCCAGTTCAGGCCGAGATCCTTAAGCTGGGAGACCGAGACCTCGCCGGTGTGGGCGCCGTTGGGCTTGGCGTAGACGTTCTGGGCCGAGACGGAGACGGTGCTGGCGGTGACGGCATCGACGGCGATGGGGAGGTAGAGGTGGGATGGGGCGATGACGACCTCTACGGCAGGGATTAGCTAACTTCGCAAACGGAGAGCGCGTGTCAGCAAAGACAAAAGCAGTGACATACCAACGCTGGGGTCCAATTGAGCCTCGTTGAGGTTCTTGATGATGGCCTTGATGGACTCCTTGGTGCCATTCCTATGTGTGGTCCGATCAGTCTCCGAGCTCTCTCTCTCGCACCGCGGGGTTTTGGGGGATATGGCGGGGTAGTTGAACTTACATCTTGAAGTTGCCGCCGACGAAGAACTTGCGAGCCATGTTGGGCGATTGTTATGTATTGACTACTGGCGTTTGGGTATAAAGTGTAGCTTGATGCAAAGAAAAATGCGTCTTTTAGGGTATCTCGAGAGTGCTGTGGTTGTTGAGGGAGCGTTGTTGAGAGCTGACGGGAGGTGAGGGTATTTGAAGCTAAGCTTGACTAGGGGGGGGGGGTCCAGGATCGTCTGAAGGTGGGATGGAACCCGGGCGGGATGCTTGGAAGCTGCGGGGGCCCTTGGTGCAAGAACCAGCTCCAAACAGCCCACCACGCCGTGGACGAGCAATTCAGGAGCGTTGTACATCATTTCATCGGCAGGAACCAGCAGATACGGATGCTAGATAGATTCTGATCTGAGGACTATTGGATTCCATGGAGGCATCACCATCCCATATCTCATACCCATTAACCATATGTGAGCGGTCTCTACATGGCTTTGATGGCTTGAGGTACTTCAATACCTGGTATTTTGTCCCCTGTGTGCTCACTCCCGTTACGTCCGCGTTCCCCCCATTACCGGCAGGGTCTCACAAAAAGTTGATGTCACACGGGATGAGCCTTTTGAAGTCCATAGTGTTGGGAACATGCAGCCAAATGTATTTTTGGTGTCATCTCTATTATGTACGCACGGCACTCGCTGCCGCATATGTTATCTGACCGAGCCCTTGCCTCTCAACCTCTCACCACCAGCTGGTCTGCTTTCTACTTTTCCGTGTGATTGCCATGAGTCCTCCGGCTTTAGCAAAACCAGGAGCGTCATGGTATTCCGTCATCACCGGTGCCAAGAACTCATTCTAGTCTCCGTTACTGGACACCGGCTATTGGGTCTCCACAGCGGCCGGACAAGACCGGACTACCGGTTCGTTGCCCTGCCGGGTCCTCCATCCATATGTCAAGCATGTCAACCTGCCTCAACTTTTGTCCCCTTCGCCGCCGTACCTTGATTTAGCGCCTGAAACCTGGTCTCCGCTGAGGTGTCCGGTTTCTTTTGAGAAGAGCCTCCTTCGCGTTGATAGACTGCTTCTTGGCCTTGGGCGCAAGTTTCTCGCTGCCTCGTTTTACCTCGACGCGATACACGGTAGATCCCACCCGTTGATCGCGAGGAAGCTTGGGTCCACGGAGAAGTGCAGCCACCTGGTCTACCTTTCTCCTCTTGTTGTTTGCGCCAGAATTATCTTCATGAGACTCATCGTCCTCGTCATCGGACTCCAAAAGGCCCAGAGGTAAAAGTTTAGGCACCTCCCGCTTCCTCTTTTCAGCCGGAGCTGGCGTTGGCTCTTCCAGCTCATCCTCCGAGTCAGCTTCTACAACCGGCTTCTTGGCCTGCTTTCTCTCCTTAGCCTGCTGTTTGAGGAACGCATCACGCTCTTGTCTCTTCCGCTTTGCGGCAGCTTCTTGTCTGTGTATAAAGTTAGCAAGTCGAACATTCTGTAAAATTGAGGTGTGACATACTCTTCAACAGCTTTCGCAGCAGCTTCAGCAGCCTTGGTGGTCTGAGCTTCAGCAACGCGCGTCGAAACAGCCTCTGGGGCCTCGTCATCCGACTCGTCCTCTGATTCCTCCTCATCTTCTTCCTTGGCAGCTTCTTCCTTCGCAGTCTCGGCCTTGATCTGGAGCTCCAAGGGGTTTCTCCTTGGTGCCTCGCTGGGGGTGACAAAATCCTCCTGGTCACTGTCGTTGAATGTGATGTGTCTGCGCTCCATTGGTGTCTTAAAAACCTCGTGGCCGCTCTCCTCTCCGCTCTCATCATCACCGCTAGCCTTTTTCCGCAACAAGGATGATGATGGCAGTGGAATCTCAATGCTGACATGCTTGTGCTTAACTGAGCCAGTCCCCTTGGACCGGAGAGTCATTTTTGAGCTTAACGGTGTGGAGTTCATGTCTTGTTGTGGCTGATTCTCAGTCTTGTCTGTCTTGTACTTGATGCCGACGACCTTTAGGAGCGGTTGCTCATAATCACCTGTGTGAGCTGGCTTCTCCTGTGGCGCGTTTTCGACGGATGGGATTTGCTGAGGCTTAGTCTCGACCGTCTCTGGCTCAGAGTCTGATGATAACTCAATGACATCAGCCACAGGTTTGGCGGCCTGCTTGGTGTTGGTCGGTTCCCGTGCCATTTTCTTTTCAATGCCAAGATTGTGATTTTGAGTGGTGACTGAAGTGAGTTTGACGTTGGCTGGGTTTATCTCAGAAGGTAAGTTTTCTGGCCGTCCAAGGTGGTTTGATCTGGAAGTCAATCTCGTCAAAAGATGGGTGTATAGAAAGGCGAAACGTCGAGGGTGAGGTTGTTGCTGTTTATTGAAGGAATCAGTTCTTAGAAAAGAAGCAGACAGCCGTTCACACTCTAAACTTTTTTTCCTTTGCACGCTGGCACCTGATTGGTCAGCTTTCTCCTGTCTGGTGGACCCGCATTTCCGGACCCCTGCTTCATAACTAATAATGAACATCTCAACACCACGACACAACCACTGTTACTATTTGCAGCACCTGTTGTGCTTGTCTCTCATTTCAAGAGATTTGGGTTGTTTTCCAATTCTTCTTGCTTACAATAGAATACAAGTTCTTCATCACCACTACCTAAACTCACCAGCCTCATTGAAGCTCACCCACTCACCATGGCTCTGCCCGTTACATCCATCATGATGCCACGAGCCTTTCTAGCAGCGGCAAGACCATTACAGCGGATACTAGTTGGGGCTTCTAGCCGGACACATATACCACCATTTCCCGGACACCATACACAACAAGTTCGCCAGATTCGATACCGCCTAGCTAAGCGGGAGGATGCCAATCCAAAACTTCTTTTCACAGGCGAGGACATCCCTTCACTGGATGTATGGGATCGTTTAAGTGAAAGGGCGATCACTCGACGGATTCCCCCAGAAATTACCTCTGAGCAGATGTATGAAGCGGTACGCTCATACTGTTCCATTGCAATTCACAATAACGACTCCTGGCAGCCAAGGTTACAAAGTGGTATGCATCTCAAGAGAAGAAGAAGCCACAAGCAAATACTAACACCCCACCACAGAATTCGGAATCGAGCCCATCGTGCTTCATTACGCAGCCATCAGCCTCTGGCCCCTAAGCGATCACAAACTATGCATCCACATGCTATCCACCGCCTCCTCCCTAGGCTACCACCCCTCCACCGTCTCCGTGATGTTCTTCCTCTCCCAAATAAGCGACTTCTTCGACGCCCGTCTCAAGCCACCCTTCCGCGACATCAGCGCCCGCTTCAGGCTCCTCTCCCGAACCAGCAGAGACCCCGACATCCTCACCGTCCAAGGCCTCATCGCCCTTCGAGAAGACGACCAAGACGCCGCGCTTCGTTTCTTCGAGCAGGCCGTCATCACCGCTGAGAAGGGCACCGGTATCCTGCCCCCCCTCGTACCAGGCGACTTCGTCTCCGATGGGGACACCAAGGAAGTCCCCGGCCGCCCCCTCCGGTTCTCCTACGAAAAGTCCTGCTACTACAACCTGGGTCGGCTCTACAGGAGAAACGGTCAGACTGCAAAGGCACGCGATGCGTTCGTCATCGCCGCCGCAGACCTCCGACATATCCCCGCGCTGGTTGATCATGCGAGAATGGTAGAGTTGGGGCAAACAGCCGAGGAGAACAAGTACAGGGAGGTTTTGCTGGTATCAGGCGCCAAGATGGGCAACGTTAAGGCGTTCAGGCAGATGGTGGTGGATTTGTTGATCAAGTACGAGAATCCGGAGAAATACAGCCCCAAGGAGTTCAAGGAGGATCCTGTTGATGTGAGGGTGATTTGGGAGTGGTGCATTCTTACGCTGGGCCTGGGTCGGACAAACGGCCCGTTCGCGTTTGCCGATAAGGACGAGTTTGAGCGGGTTCACAACGCTATCAGGGGCAACCGGGCCAGGATGAGTCTGGTCGAGCAGGATGCAGAGACTGAGGAGGTGACATTGGCGATTTGGGTCTACCCTTCTAAAATAGCAAACTTGGGGAACCTTACCGGGGAGCCTGAGAGATTTGATATCACAATATAAGTCTTGCTACCTTCCACATCTGATGATGCCTTGTCTTTTTGCTTTCAATCTCTTTCATATTCAACTCCAAACGCCATGCTTTGAAGACCAAATCTCACCGGACAAGACATCGCCTCCGATCATAATCTGCCAGCAATTTTCATTTTCTCGACCGCTCAACGCCTATCCCCACGGTCCTCATCATCATAATCGTCCCGATCGCTTCCGCCTCTCCTCTCTGGGTACCTGTCCCGGCTAATGCTCCGCTCCCTGTACCTATCCCGGCCACCATCCCGCCCTTTCGGTATCTCCTGACTGACACTCCGCTCCCTATACCTGTCCCGGCTAACACTCCTCTCCCTATACCTCTCCCGACTACCACTCCGCTCCCTATACCTCTCCCGACTACCACTCCGCTCCCTATACCGCTCTCCACTCGGGCTCCTCTCCCGGTACCTCTCCCGACTGTCCTCCCTTTCCCTCTCACCACCCCTCTCCTTCCTCCTCTCCCTCTCCCTCGGCGGAGCCCTATCTCTCACAGCCTCCTCCTCCTGTCTCACCACCCCCTCACCCATACCCCCTCTCTTCCTCTCCCCCTGCCTCCTCCAATGCCCCCCCTCCTCATAATCCTTACTAATTCTCAACGCCTGCCTCAACCGTTCACTCTCCTTCATCTTGGCATCTGCCAATTCATGAACCTGAAAACTCTTGATATTCCTCCTCGGCCCTACCCCAGTCCCCCCTCCCTTTTCCGCCTCTTTCTTCAGTTTCTCTCTTAGCTCGTCACATTTCTCGTCGATTTGCTCCTCTGTCAATTCCCCTGCTTCTTCAAGTTCGTCGCGGAGAGCAAAGACCTTGACTTCAATCTGTCGTTTGCGGTCGTGGTCGAGGAGGCCTTGGTCGGGTTTGCGTTGGGTTTGGAGGGAGGAAGTTGGGGGAGGGGGGCGGGAGTAGGGACTGAGGCGGGAGGATTGGTGGTGGTGGGGGTGGGCGAGGTTGCGCTGGACGTAGCCTGATGTGCCTGAGCCGCGGGGAGTGGAGAGGCCTACGTTGTCGGACATTTTGAGGGTTGTGTTGGGTTGAGGTTGTTGGTTGAGAAAAGGGGGAAAGAGATGCGGCTCGAGACGCGACTTGGTGGTTGTGAAGGCGGTGAAGGCTTTCGAGGAAGATACTTTTGGGATTATGAAAGGTTAAAGTCCCCGGTGAGTCGTGGGTAATTCCAAATTGAATCTGAGCTCCTCAGTGTCGTATCTCAATTAAAAACGGTCGAGAGGATCGTTTGGTTGACGAAAAGGAGCTTTTCAGTCTCAAGCTGACGTTGAAAGCACCCTGAGCTTTGCGATCTTGGCGGCCGGCAGAAAACCGGCAGCGTTAGCGCGATGCGGGGCGCGTTGAGCACACCCCTGTCAATTGGCGATGTCATGTCAGTGACTCAACCCCACCATGTCCCATCAAAAAGTAAATGCGACTGAGGGGCAACCCATCTTTTGAGGACGCATTTGGAGATTTGGAGAATCTCATGCATCTATGACTCTAACGAGTGACTCGATTTGACACTCGAAAGCTATAACATTGAACCCACAACCTTTCAACCATCAAACATTTTCAGGCCATTTTCTTCTGTCCACCCACAGCTGGTCTACTAAACAACCAACGTCATGCCCGCCATCGAAGGAAAGCCGGCGCAACCGGTCGCAAACCAGGATGGCGAAATCATCTTCCCTCCTGTCACCAGGGAACACATCGTTCATTGTTCTTACGATTACTGTTCCCCAAGTTCGCATACCACACCATTAAAGCTGTCCAGGTTCCAGAAATTAACAACGGCGCCTAGATATCGCACATCTTGTATCCGTTCCGAAATCATCCCCCTCACCCCCCCATTCGTCTCCTACATCCACGAAGACGGCATAGTCCTCGCCGACTGACCCCTCCTCCGATCCCAACCAGGAGCAAGACGAAGACGACGACTGGGAACCAACCAACCCCTCCTCCGACTTCCCACCACCCCCCCGCGACCCCCGCGATGAATCCGGCTCCGAAGACGACGACGATGACGAACCTACCACCGCTCCGCCTCCCCCCAAACCAACGCTTCCCCGAACTCCACCAGAAAATCGAGAGCACCATCGCCCAACTCGGCGGCTCCGTAGCCCCCAAGCTCAACTGGTCCTCCCCACGAGATGCCACTTGGATCTCCCGGCACCCCAACACAATAAAGTGCACCTCGGCCAACGACATTTACATCCTCCTCAAGTCCTCCTCTTTCATCTCGCACGACCTCGACCACGCCTTTGACGACTGCGCCCCTACTACCACCTCCCAGTTGTCACCACCATTTCAGCCCGTCTTGGTTCTGAGGAGTTACTTCAACATTTTGCCGTCGTTGGAATTCAGGTGTTTTGTCAAGGACAGAAACCTGGTGGCTATCACGCAGCGCGACCCGAACTACTACCCCTTTTTGAGGAGTCTGCGGCCGCATATTGTGTCTCGAATCAGGGAGTTGTTTACAAAGAGGTTGAAGTTTACGTTTCCGGAGGCGGACTTTTCGTTTGATGTTTATATTCCTGAGGCGTCCTACGATGATGAGGTCAATCGCTTAGGGAGGGCCAGGCTGATTGATATTAACCCCTGGGCTCCAAGGACGGATACTATTCTTTTTGGGTGGGATGAGTTGCTTGAGGTTAATGTTAAAAGGCCGGTTATTGGGGGGCCGATGTCGACGCAGGAGCAGGATGGGAGTGATGTGGAGAGTGAAAGTGATGATGATGAGGAAGGTGAGGAAGAGGATAGGCCGGAGTTGAGGTTGGTGGAGAAGGATGATCCGGCGGCGTATAACTTCTCGAGCCCGGCGTTTTCGGCGCATAAGTTGCCGAAGGATGTGGTGGATGCTAGTCAGGCTGGGGAGGGGGGGGGGATGAGGGAGTTGGCGGAGACTTTGAGGGAGTTTGAAAGGGGGAGGAGGGAGGGGGTTCAGCAGGGAGGGCAGGGGAGGGTGGAGGAGGTGACGGAGGAGCCGCGGGAGCAAGCAGGCGGGTCGGTGTAAATTTGAAGGGGAGTGGACGAGTTCAATCTTTGATTTTCTACTTGAGGTACAATCACGAGGGTGAATGAAAAGTGGTGCAGTCGACGACCCACAAAACTTCAGGTATAATGTTCACTAGAACAAGGGCAGGAATCTTTTGGGGGAAATTTTAGCGTGAAAGAATGTCAGGTCGCAGTCCAAAGACACGACCAATCGGGTCATTGACATATGTCACGCATTGCCCTCGCTATCGACATGTGATGCAGAGCGTTTTGGGAAATATTTTAGCGTGAAAGAAGGAGATGTTCAGCCGATTATTCTCATGTCTCGGTCCCCTGTGGACAGAGAGGCTCAGAAGGTGTAAGATCTCAGGAGAGAAAGACACACCCACAAGCTCAAGAAGCAATGGAAACTATCAATCCAGCAAGGTAAGGCAACGTGCCTGGCAAAACGATCTCTA